TCAATCTTTTATCCTACCCAGAAGAAGTGTCTCCAGATTTGGTTTTGCTTGACTTTTGTCAACTTCCTTTCTGTACTGTACTAATTGCCACATATTCTTGGGTCCTACAGTCCCTTTGGAATGTAGCTTATTCACTTCTAGAGAAGGATGTGTGTTTCCCTGTTCAGGCCCTATGGAAATCTGGCATCCAGAGGCAAAAAAAGGTGATGGGGGCAACGTCTTGAGGAAAACAAGACTTATCTTGCAATGAATTTATTATGGTTAATTTATATATGGCCTCCAAGAAGGGGAGGTTGCTTTTCTCTGTGAAGAGTAAACAGACTGCTTTTTCTGGCTGAGAAAATTTAGAAACAATTGGTAATTAATTGACAGCACATCCACCCAAATACTTCTTGTCCAGGTTTATTTTTTCTATCTGGAAAGACTCTGACATGGGTTACCCATTGAAACTGTACATCACTCTCTGGCTGTTCTGCCACTCTGGACCGTGAGTCTTATTTTCAATATATCTAACATTCTGCTGCAAGAGATGTCTTCTTTGTGAGGCTGCCAGAAGAATTTCTGGCTTTCACAGTCTTCCTAAATTGGCAGCTAGCTGCTTCAAACTATTGTTTTATTTTTGCAAGCCTTCCAAAACTATGGGAAGCAGCCAATCTGTTCCCCAATACTTATTATTGTTTCTCCCATCTCAACCAAGTACATTAACTTGGTACCCTAATGTCTTATCTTCCATCTGCACCTCATCCCAATTTACTATAAATGAAAGTTTTAGTAATTGTGATATATGCCACTTAGAGCAGAGATTATTATTATCTCATTTACCTTCAGGTAAACACTTCCTGTTGCATTCACATAGCTGGGCTATTCAACCCCAAAACCCCCTTTGAAGGTCTTTTCTTTTTTTTTAAAGGTTTATTTATTTATGCATATAGAACTGGGGTATAGGCCAGAGGTGCAGGGATGGTGAAAGGATTCACCAGGGACAGAAGTGGAGAGCCGAACAGGCAGATCGATGAAGTACACTGCTGAGGGGAACAGCCAGACAAGACAGGAGGGGTCTGCTGCCCCATAGGGGTCAGCTCCCAGGTCAGGGGATTGAACTTGTGTTGAAGCAGCTGCTGCCAGGTAGTGCTGTGCTTTAACCCATTGCGCCCCCAGAGAGAGCCCTGAAGGCCTTTTCTTAAAGACCACTGCTGGTGCTGGCACCATGTTTTTGTTTTTAGTTCAGGGCACCAAGAAAAACAAAGTGTGAAGCACAAGATTTTTTAGTAAGTACTTATAGATGAGTGATATTCCAGGAAAGAAAATGTGAAAAACAAAGTGAAGTATGGAAAAAGTGAAACATAAGACATGTGTTCCAGGGTAGCCAGCATTTCACTGCAGACAATAGTGGTTACTTGCTGTTCCAGGGCCTGGCCAGAGAGTTCACATGAAGCTACAGCCTCTCACAATCATTCATCAAGTGGGAGGAAAGGTGAACAGTGCTGCTTTCTTTTGGTCTCCTGTCTCTCACTGGTTAAAGTTTATCCCAAGCCCAGGCCTAAATTCCTACTTTTTTTTTTAAAGATTTATTTGTGCATAGAATTGGGATACAGGCCAGAGGTTCAGGGGCGGTGAGAGGCTTCATCAGAGACAGAGAGGGGAGCAGAACAGGCCGACTGACAAGTATACTGCTGAGGGGAGCAATGAGCTGGTCAGGAGAGGTCTGCCACGCCATGTGGGTCACCTCCAGGGCTGGGGATGGAACTCACACTGAAGTGACTGTGGCTTGCTTGCAGTGCTGTGTCCCATCCATTATGCCACCAGGGAGGGCCCTTAAACTCGTACTTTCTGAACTGCAAGATACAGCCTCGCCAGGTAGATTCTTGGGAAATCAAATCCTCTATGTCCTTTTGACCAATTTTCAGGTGATTCAGTTCCCCCCCACACCGCTAAATAGTACTACAAGTGGGGGCCCTCTCAGTTGGGGATCAGATGGCAGGAAGTACTGCAGCTGTAACTTTATAAATCTTGGATACTTGATAGGGTTTCTGAAAGGACTCAGTCAAGTCATACCCAGTGCCTGGCATTTAGTTAGCTATTATTTAAAGTAGCAATTAAATGAAATTTTTGTGTGTGATTGTTATGTGACCTGACTAGTCTGAGCATTTCCCCCACCCCTTCTAAGCCATTGTTAAGCACCACTGACTCTATCAGCACTCTCATGAAGAGCTAGACACTGCAGCAGGGGACAGTCAAAATAGCCAAACGGCTCTGCACAGATTTCCAGTAGTGGTGGCCACCAACCACAGGCAGCACCCAGCTATGCCATGGGGCTATTTTGCCTTTCTGTAAAAATATGGCTTAATCAATGCAAGAAAATTTAAGAAGTTTAATAGTAAAAAGGAAAAAAAATATGACTTACGGTAATATTTCCTTTGTCTAAGCACCTTAAAAAGTCCTTCGAACTAACTTGTCTCTGAAATTCACTAGGCAAATAAATTGGTGTGGCTTTTTGTTCTACAATTATAGCCATGTGACTGAAGGATACCTTGCTCATTCACAGAGCCATAGATTTGCTTCTGAAACAATGATTTCAGTAGCTCTCAGATGTCAGATATCTGTAGGATAATATTTTCTCTGGGAAATTTGCTACATTATCCTTTGTTTGCTTAGTCATAAATATCTTTTATTTAACAAATAATTCAAATCTTTGCCTGTCACCATGGCAAAAAGGACTCTTCTCCAATTTGTCTTTATGAGACACTCATTGCCACAGATATAATATTTACTTCCCTTGAGTAAACAACAGCTCTTGACATGTTGAAATATGATGTCAGTGAAGAATTTGCTGATCTATGTGTTATAAATGGCTTCAATATTGTTTTGATTCCTGCTTAAATATATGGGAAGAATTTTTACAGTCAAGGTAAGTAAGTCTATGTACTGATGATTGTGACAGATAGACATGAGCTTTGAGACAATGAAAAAATAAATTTGATTCCTTCAAAATGCCTTTTGCCTTTCTGTAGGCAAGAGCTGAATTTATTTTAAAGAGAAGAACCCACAGAAAAAGAAAATAAAAGACTGATAAGAGTATTTCAATATAATAAAAAAAAAAACATAACTTATACCACAGGTGATATAAGGTGGCAAAATTTCTTAAATCACACTTCACTTGATGACACTTTTTGTGTTGAAATCATTTGCTGGCCTAATTGCCCCTGTTTGCAGATATACATCACCCCCCCTTAACTGAGAATAGATGTGGCTCCATCCATTCTGATCTCTGGCCCAGTTCCTTACATGTCACAGGGGGCTCCTGTCTGGACACCTTAGACCACACTCAGCAACTACAGGGGACATAACCCAGCACTGGACCCACCCTCTTGTGCCTATATCTGGTCACAGGAGACAAGACAGACTTGTGTAATGTGGGGCATGGAGGACATGTCCTACTTGTGTAGGACATGGAGTCAGGTGTCACTGAGGTTGCAGAGAATTATAAAGAATACATGGTAAAGTTAATCAAAAAATTTTGTACTTTAAAAGAAATTAGGGAACCAAGGAAGGAACATTTCTTAAGAATCTCTATGTTCCAAGTGCATTAAAGTTAAGACACTTAATCTCTACATAATCCTTTAATGAAACCATTCCCATCTTCATTTGTAAAACAGAGGCTCCAAGAGGCCAGGTATTTTTCAGTCACTTAGGAGGTAGGTGTAGATTTCATAGGGAGAATCACTGGCTTTGTGTAGTGGTTGTTGTATAAGGACTGGTGGTATGAGACAGTGGTGAGTGAGAGATTGGAAAGTCCTGATAAACTATGCCTTTTTCATTGCTAGCACTTACTGACTTTGTAACTGAGGACAAGACCATATATATATATATTTTTAATTTATTTATTTGTGCATATAGAACTGAGGTACAGGCCAGAGGTACAGAGGCAGTAAGAGGATTCACCAGAGACAGAGTGGGGAGCAGAACAGGCCGAATGACAAGTACACTGCAGAGGGGAGCAGCGGTGGGTTAGGAGAAGTCTGCCGCACCATGTGGATCACCTCCCCGGCAGGCGGGGATGAACTTATGTGGAAGTGGCTTTAGCTTCTTAGTGCTGTGCTTTAACCCACTGCACCACTAGGGAGGGCCTGGACAAGTATATTTAATCTCTTTCAGCCTGAATGTACTTGTCTTTAATATTGGGGTTGGGGAGGAGCGGTAAAATAGTGCCACCATACGTCCCACAGAAGATTTTTTTGGTTAGTTCCAATGAGTTAATGTAAAGAAAAGAAATTCATGTAGAGAAAAATGCCATACAACTCATTTATCATAGTTTCTAATCTCCTAAATTTATATTCTACCAGAGATGACATAACATAAACACAACGTACATAGAATCATTACATAAGTGTAACTCAGTTTAGTGGTTTGCTGACCTGAAATCCTCCCAAGACTTTTCAGAAGAGCCCCACCCCATTCTTTATAACTTGGTGGAAATGGTTATTTTATATGAACCCTCATTCTATGTAAACTAAGAAAAACCAGCAATGTCCCCAATATTCCTAAGGTTGCTAGCATACCCACTTCTTTCCTTATAGTATTCCCCTTATACCTGGGGTTCACATTCTGTGGTTTGTTACCAGCAGGGAAGTGGGTCTGAAGATATTAGTTAAAATAGTCACTAAGATACTTTGAGGCACATGACCTTCATTACAGTATATTGCTATAATTATTCTATTCAATTCTATTAAGTCTTTTATCATGCCTGGTTTATACTTTAAACTTTATCATAAATATATATATATATATTTGTGTGTATATACATGTGTGTGTGTGTATATATATATATAATTCATATATGTATGAAAAAGAACATAGTGTATTTAGGGTTCTGTATTTTCCAAGGTTTCAGGTATCCAGTAGGGACCTTGGAACACATCCCTTGCAGATAAACAGGCTGGGGGAGGTGGGAAACTCCTATAAACTACAGCTCTGCTGATGTCCTCTTCCTGCTGACTGAACTGCCTATAGCTTAGCTCTGCAGTGGAAACTACATGAATTCTTGAATTCTTCAAAATCAACTGGCACCAGACTACATGTAAAGTAGATTTTTTGTTGACTTGAGGACAACATTGTTGAGGCTGCAGAAAGGTAAACAATAGGTATCTCAGTTCTTAAATGTCCCTTCGCCTCTTTCTGTCTTTGAAAGTCCTCACTGGCCTTCTCTTCACAAAGAGCCCTATTCAGCATCTTTTTCACCATTTTTCCTTCTTTCTCATGTTTTCTACTTGCTACCTGTAACCACACCCCACCCCAACACATACAGGCCCGAGATAGTAGTAAAAACTAACAGTATTACTACATAACAATAATAAATACTGATTAAAAGATTACTTTGTGGCAGGCAGTTTAAGTGCTTTATGTATGTTTTTTCATTTAGTGTGCCTTTCCCCCCTCCCTCTTTCCTCCCCTCTCTCCCTCCTTTCTCCTTTCCTTCCATCTTTTGATAACAGTTGTGGTTTTATTGTGTCCAGGTCATCATTAAGTGAACTTTAAACCTGAGTCTGTATATGGACTTACTTGACTTGCCCAACCCTGGGCAGTCTGCCTCTGACACTTCTCCCATCTTGGAGAGAAGGGATGCTAGAAGGGGCGCTAGTACGGAATTAGTAGACTTGTATTCTTCTTTCATTTTGCCCTAGGTTTACAGGCCCAAATACTTGGTGCTTCATCTTGTTTATTCATCCAATGAACATTAAACACTGTTTTTGTGTGTGGCACAATGCTAGCTGCTGACTTCAGTAACAAAACAGAAACAGACCTGGTCTCTGCTCTCCTGAAGCAATGACTGAAAAGAGTTGATCAAAGTAACTTGTTAATTAAAGAGAATTCTGTATTTGAGGGAACCACCAGCTCCTAAAACAACAATTTCCCTATTTGCTGAAATAAAAGATGACAATAACACAAACAGCAAAATGAAACAAAAAAACAGGACATGACTTAAAAAGTAGTTCACAAGTAGGTTTAGAAGTTTATGAGATCATTCATGTTAAACTGGTGGGCTTTGAGGCACTGGATTGGAGCAAATGGAGAGAGGAAGGGAGGGAGGGAGAAAGGCAGGCAGGCAGAGCATGCTGGAATATAATGGACTAGACAAAGTAATTAAAAACAAGACTCCAGCCTCAAATCTTAGCTCTGCCACTTGACTATGTGACTCTAGGGAGCACCTTTATCTCTCTAAACCTATCTTGACCCTACTTGGTGGGATAAATCTAAGCTTAGAGTCCACCAGGAATTTCTTGTTTGGTCCAACCGAAGAATGGAAAGTCAAAAGTTAATTTTCATTATTGGTATGTAGTAAAGCACAGTAGAGTTTTCACATTCACTTAACAACACAATTAGTAGAGTGGGCACTCTTGAGTACATGAACTCCTTTGCCAACAGAGTGCTCAAATAAGAGTGTTAAAAAAATGAACCAACCACGGGGCAGGTACCGTTGTAGAAGTCACAGCAGTTCTTTAGGGCTGCGACACTAAAATCTTTATCTGCCCAGGGGCCAGAAAAAGAAGGGGTGTTGGTGCCATCCAGAGAAGTACTGAAATGAAAAGCCAAACAGAGAGACAGTCAGATAAACAAAAAGCAACAACCATGCAACAAGTTCTACCAAGCAAATGGGGGAAAAAATCAAAAACCTGTGAATGGATCCAATTACAATGAGCAAATAAATACAAGATAATGAAGTGTACATTCACATTCATGCCCCAAATAATACCAGCAAGAAACCTCAAACAATGTGCCTGCTTCTGGGTCCATTTCTATTCATAGTCCTTTGGGAATTTTCTTTCCAAACATCACTGAGGCAAAATTTATACATTGTAATATGATTGAGAGAATTTAATTTAGTCTAAAAAAATGAGATAGTATTTCAAGGCTACTTCCTGCTGAAAAAGAAAAACTGTTCAGATTTATGTACTTATTTATTGTTTCATAAAAAATTGGGCCCTCCCTGGTGGCACAGAAGGTTAAAGCACAGCACTAGGATGCTAAAGCCACTTCCGCATGAGTTCGATTCCCACCTGCCCTGGAGGTGACCACATGGCGTGGCAGACCTCTCCTGACCCGCCCGCTGCTCCCCTCAGCAGTGTATTGCAGTTAATCTGCCTGTTCTGCTCCCCACTCTGTCTCTGGTGAAGCCTCTCGCCGTCCCTGAGCCTCTGGCCTGTACCCCAGTTCTTTATACACAAATAAATAAATCTTTTTAAACAAGTTACTCAGATATGACTGACAAAACTGTGATATATTTATACTGTACAACATGACAATTTGACATATTCTCTACATTGTAAAAGGATTCCCAATGATGAGCTAATTATTGGCATGTTGAAGAGAGACACAATGAAAATTTCACACTTAAGGTTAAAGATCAAGGTGAGTTAATGAGAGTGGGAATCTGAGTACATTAACATCTTTGCCCCCCAAAAAAGCGCTCAAGGAGTGTTAAAGAAATGAAATCAATCACAAGGCAGACAGCCTTGGTGTAGAATTCACAGCACTTACTAAAGGCCATGACACTGATTTCTTCATCTTCCCAGGGACCAGAAAGAGAAGGAATGTTAACACATTCATCACCTTATATATTAAATTTTTTGGTTAGAATACAAGTGCTGCTCTTAAAAAGTTTTATAATGTTCAGATCTTTTACCTCCTTGTTATCAGCTACTAAGTTAAAAACCTGATATTCAGTTATTACATTTTTCCTAGTTATTTTATTCTTTTTGATGATATAAATGGTATTGTTAATTTCTTTTCCCAAAGTTTGTTTTTAGTGTGTAGAAATGCAGGGATTTTTTTGTAGAGTCTTTAGAGTTTCTATATATAAGATTCTGTCATCTGCAAACAGACAATTTTATTTTTCTTTTTTGATTTTGGTGTTTTTTATTTCTTTCATGCCTAATTGCTATGCCTATGACTTCCAGTACTATGTTGATTAAAAGTGATCAAGGTGGACTTCCTTGTCTTATTCTGGATATTAGATGAAATATTTACACCAGTTTCATAACTATGTGGTCAGAAAACATACTAATTATGATTTTAAGCTTCTTGTTTTTATTATTATTAGTTTGTGGTCTAATATAAGACTAGTCATATAATTTCCATGTACATTTGAGAAGACTGTGCATTCTGTTGCTACTACTGGGTGAATTGTTCAATGTCTGTTAGAACCCCTTTACCTAACATACAGCTTAAGCCCAGTGTTTCCTTATTAACCTCACTGCTGAAAGAGCCAATATCCACTATTAAAAGTAGAATAAAAAGTTTTCTTCTATTATTATTTTGCTGTATTTTTTCTCTAAGATCTGTTAATACTGGGTATTTATCATCATTAATGTATTCAGGTGCACTATGTTGGGCGCATAATTACTTACAATGATGTCCTTTTGATTAATTGACCTCTTTACTATATAATAACCTTGTCATTTGTTAAAAGATTTTGGCTTAAAGTGTATTGTGTCTGGTGTAAATATAGCTATTTTTGCTTTAGTTTCCATTTCCATGGAACATATTTTCCCATCCCTTCACTTTCAGACACTGTATCCTTAAAGCCAAAGTGAACCTCTTATTAACAGTATATAGTCAGTCTTTAAAAAAAATCATCTAGTCACTTTATGTTTTATGATTATAGAATTTAATTCATTTACATTTGAAGTGATTATTAAAAAAACATTTATTTTATATTTATTTATGCAAACAAGAACTGAGGTACAGCCAGAGGTGTGGGGGTGAAAGGATTCACCAGAGACAAAGTAGGGCACAGAACAGGCAGATCTACAGAAATACACAGCTAAGGGGAGCAGTGGGTGGGACAGGAGAGGTCTACTGTGCCATGTGGGTCACCTCCCTAACCAAGGACTGAATTTATGCCACATTGGCTGTTGCTAGCTTGATAGAGCTGAGACTTTAATGCCTGTACCATCAGGGAGACTCTGAAGTAATTATTGATAAGACTTGTTTTCTTCTCTTGCTCTCTTCCTTGGTGGTTTGATACTTTTCTTTCTTTCTTTCTTTTTAATATTTATTTATTTATATATACAGAATGGGGGTATAGGCTAGAGGTGCAGGGGAAGCAAGAAGATTCACCAGAGACAGAGTGGAGAGCAGAACAGGCAGACTGACTGAAATATACTGATGAAGGAGCAGCGGGAGGGTGAGGAGAGGTTTGCTGCGTCATTTGTGGGTCACCTCCTGCCAAGATTCAAACTTGCACTGAAGCAGTGCTGTGGCCTAATCCACTGTGCCACCAGAGAGGGCGCAGTTTTATAGTTTTCTGTAGTATTATGCTTTGCTTTGTTTTCCTTTCTCTTTTTAATCTATAAATTTTTGTTTTGTGTTTAACTTGCGTTATATATTTAAAAAACACCTTACAGTTACTATAATCTATTTTATGATGATAATAATTTCTTTCTTCCCTAACCCTTCACTTCTTCATACCCTTCCCAAAATAGGTATAATTTATCACTTATTCATACAATAGCTAATACTATGGATACCATCTAATAAGAAAAAAAGAACACAAATATAACCATCATAAATATCTGTCTCCATTCTTACATACTTTATTTAGCATCCATGTGATTACCCTAAAGACTTCATTTCTACCCACTCCATGAATGGAGATGAGGACACAAGGGTAAAAACAAGGATCCTGCTGTCCACTTACCTCTGAAAGAGTTCTCTGCAGCATATGTAGCTGTCATAGGTTCTGTTGGTGAAAGTTGTTTTCAAAAAGGAAACACAGTCAGCTTCTGCTCCTCTGGGGACATAGAGGATTCCTAGGTAAAAGAGGATAGGAAATACATAGGGAGGATTTTATACACATTCATTAATGCATTGGATGTTAATTGAGAACACTGTAGATTAGGTGTCTTTTCTATACATCAGTGGTATAGATGGTTAAATCAGTATTCTGAGAGAAATACTGTCAGGACATAGGAGAGTGATTTCTGCCCAAAGACGGAGCTGAGATAATTACCTGCCACACAGGAGCTGATAAGGGACACACAAGCCCCTGTGAGAAGGGCACTGATCACAACCTTGGACAAGTCACTCTTCCGCTGGGGTACCATTGATGCTGCAGAGGAGACAAAACATTTTGATCTCTTCCCTACCAGGCAACAGGTTTACCCCCTAAGCCCCTATTAATAAGATTGCAGAGGGAAAAGCAAGCAGACGAATAGCATCTTAAAACCAGTCACCAGAGGTTGGCTAGTGTTATCCTAAGAAGTGTTTATTTGGGTTGGGGAGGAGGCATGGAGGAGGTTAGTCTCTCAGACACTCATCAGATCAAGAATTATGTTCTGACCCTGACTGCAGTGGCTCTATAAACATTTGATATTTCTGGATCAAGATAAGCTCGATTTGCTCCAGACATACAAATGCCTGGCCATTCACTTTCTGGGATCTTCACTCTTTTTTAAAAAAAAAAGATTTATTTATTTATTCATACAGAGCTGGTACAAGCCAGAGGTGCAGGGGCAGAGAGACAGAGACAGAGTAGGGAGCAGAACAAGCAGATCACTGAAATACACTGCTGCAGGGAGCAGCGGTCAGGTCAGGAGAGGTCTGCCACTCCATGTGGGTCACCTCTGGAGCCAGGGAGCAAACCTGCATTGAAGCAGCTGTGGTCAGCTTGCAGTGCTGCGTCCTAACCCGTTGCACCACCAAGGAGGGCCATGAGATCTTCACTCTTAAGCCTAGACCAACTTAGCTAGATTTTTTTCATTTTCTTTTTTTTCTAAAATTGATGCATAATTGGTTTACAATGCTGTATGATGATTAGAGCTATATAATCACACCCTTCAAATGTTTGTTACCAACCACACCACCACATGGCAACCACAGCCCCCTTACTAAAGTAGTTTATCTCCCCATTCTGCTCTCCCCTCTCTCCTTCCAGCTCTGGTAACCTCAATTTTACAGTCAGATTTCTAGGGTTTGTTACTGATTTGGTTTTATCTGACCCTTTGTTTTGTTTCTCTATATTCCTCATGTAAGTGACAGCTAGATGAACTACCTTGAGTCAGAGGGATAAGGAGACTTATGGGTATGCTTTAGTCACATGATGCCTATTTTGTCTTTTGGTTCCTTGTTCAACTCCTATTTCTGTGAGCAGCCTAATTTCAGAAAGTATCCTCAGTATTAAATAAAAAATATGTACCTATATATGCATTATGCCCACTTAATAGCAAAATAAAAACCATTTCATTATAACATCTTATTTCTCATAGGGAAAAAAAAATAAAATTCTTTCAAAATTCTTACAGTAACACGGACCAGAAGCACCCTGACCAGAAGCACCAAATACATAAAGTAGGATAGACAGTGATGTGAAATATTGCATTAAAAGCTGATAGTCACCAGGTATGGGAAGAATGATGAGTATTTGATGCAAACCGAGGTTCATTTAGATTACTGAAGATATTACTGAATGTGGATGATGGTCGGGGGAAATAATATGATGAAATGCAATAGTCCTTGAGGGCAGGGGCAGGGAGAATGACTAGTAGATTCTGACTAGCAAATTCTTTTGGACTTTCAATCAAAATGAAAGTAAGTAAGTAAAGCTGAAATTGTAAACCCAGCATGGGTTCCACGCTTAGCCTGGTAACCTGACTACATATTAACTGCTATCTGAGATGGCCCCTGGCAGTCAACATCTCTGTCTGGCCTCAACATGTACTGAAACACCAGGAATGCCCACAGTGAAGCCAGGATCTAGCTGACATAATGGGGAGCTGAGAAAATGAACTCACTCAAGCCTCCCAATGTGATTCCTATGGAGCTAAGATTGGCAAATCCACAGAGTGCAAACGTTGTAATGATTTCAGCTCTCACCTAGGGAAAACAAAAATAAATAAGTAAACCTAACTCAGTTCAATACATGTTGTCATATAATGACAGAAGTTTCAGGGTACTTAAAATCCCCAATCTTGTCCATACTACCTTAATGAATATGGGAAGGATGTTCAGAAAATAACCACTCCTTGTGTTACAACAAAGATAATGATAAGGCAACCACCCTGGGCTTCTCTGCCCTTTGTAGAAGACTATGAATAAGGAGAAGGCATAGAAATGAGAATGATTAAGAAGATAAAAAGACAGAGGGAGAGAATGAAGATCAATTTATAGCTACTTAATAGATGAAGAAGAGGATCTCAGACTACCCGAAGTAGTGTCTTAGACACTGTGAAAAAATCAGCATTACATCACAGAGAGAAGTCGGGTCAGAGTGTATGTGTGCTGCAGTGTGGGCGGGGCGGGGGCCGGCATAGAGGGCAACCTCGGCTCTGGAGGAAGCACACGGATGTGCTTGCTTTGTGGTTACCCTGGACACTGAAAGCGGATCTGTGGCTATGCAATAAGCATTTGTATCATACTTTCTATCTATCCTCAGACTATTTTGCCTTTCTGGAATGTCACTTACAGAAATCCACTGTTTCTCATTCCCGATCCATTCTTCCACGCCAGCGAGACGTTTGTTCTTATATTTAGACAGTTGCTCATAGGCCACAAACTCATTTGTGAAAAACTTGATCCCCACCATTTCAGCTACCATTGGACAATCTGACCAGTCCACACCCATCATGAAAACCATGGGTCTTAAGATGTAAGAGCAGATGACCTTGGTGAAAGAAAAACAAACAACAGAGGAAGGAGCCACGGTCCTTCTCTAGAGCCTTGACTCAGTCTCCTCCATGCTGCTCCCACCCATATTCCCTCTTAGCTCACTAAGTTCAAGGATGACTTAACCATACCCAAGAACAGCCCAACAAATGGAATCATTTACCTGAAAAGTGAGTTCCTGTATTTCTACCATTTCCCCTAGCCAGGAGAGGGCAGCATTGATGAAGGCCAGCACTGCCAAAAAGGCAATCAAATTGGCTGCCACATTAGCAGCAAGGCCTATGGCATCTGTGGCTCCGTTGCTGGCAGCTTCCAGGATATTCCTCTCCTTCCTGTGGTTATTGGGCATAGGTGAAGAATATGTGTCTACAGCTGTCTCAGTCCCTCACAGAAGAGAAATCTTACTGTCCCTGTAATGCTAGCATGTAAGAAGAAGGTGCAAAGCCATACTGAGAGTTGGTGGTGATTCCTTAGTGAAACTTATGGTGGAAATTACACTGAAGCAGTATCAGATTTAATTGCCATGAAATTGCATTAACATCAGGAACTGGAGTTACTGGCCTGCTGAAGATGGAGACAAGTGGGTGATTTAAATGAAAGAAGAAGCTCAACAGTATTAACTACAGGGAGACACAGGCAATATATAACTATATTCTTCTGCAGGAGACTTGAGTTCTCAGCCCCCAAGCATCACTTTGCCATAGCTGATCTCACTATCCCTCCAAATATATGTCATTTGACTCACCCAGGCGGCAGTTTTACCCCCTCCTTATTCTTGAACTTGGACTCCTCCACTTCTGGATATACCAGCTTTGACAAAGCAAGAGCAGAAGGGGCAGCCATCACAGAGGCAGAAATTAAGGATGATGCATCAACCTGCAAAACCAGGCTTAGAGTGAGTGTCTGTGTAACCTAGACTCGGTTTTCAACCAATGGTGACCAACCGATGGTGCCTACCCCAAAGGATATGAATGCTCCTAGCACAGTGCCTGAAATGGTAGCAAAGCCTCCAGTCATCACTGCGTGGATTTCTGAAAGCGTCATGTCTGCAAGGTATGGACGAATGAGCAGAGGTGCCTCTGTCTATGACAAGGAGAAATGAGTCAGAGTCAAGAGGGTACAAGTCCCCATCCCAAAGGGGCTCCCTGAACGCACCCCTCCCAAGTGAATGCCTTTCTAGCTTGCTCTCGGATCTGCCCCACTGTCTGCTTTTCTCTTTCTTGCACCTAATCATTTCTGGTTGGCATTGTCCTCATACAAGTTTCTCTCAACTATTAAAATTTTTAAAGATTTATTTATTTGTGCATACAAGAACTGGGTTGCAGGTCAGAGATTTGGGGGGATGAGAGGATTCACCAGAGACAGAGTGGGGAGAAGAACAGGCAGATTGACTGAAATACACCGCTGAGGGGAGCACCAGGTGGGTCAGGAGAAGCACTGGGAAACTAAAGCACAGGAAACTAAACTGATTATGGATAATTTCAGCAGAACAGGGGGCGCTATGGTAGAAATATGGAGAAGTATTCTCAGGATATTTTAGAATTTGTTAATCAGTACATAATCTTGGGAGAGAAAGAGCCTCAATATTAGTTTCTTGTCAGTTTCAACAAGTCTTGGTCCCTAATATTGAACTGAGAAGTCTACAGCACATATTAAACACTTAATCCATGTGGACAGACACGTCAAACAACTATTATATAGAAGAGACATGGTGTTACCCCTTAGGAAGGCAAAGTTGGCTGCTTTAGAGATCCTGGAAACCAAGAGTCACAAGAGAAACTAGAATATTTCATAGCTCCTTATCAAGTGGGATGAGATTTAGAACAAGACTTCTCCCTCTATATTATTATTATTAATAATATTATATATTATTATATATTAATATTATATTATATATATATTATTCCTCTATAAGTAGTTGGAGCAGTGTAAGGATAACCATGTTAAATTGCTTAGGTAAATATTATTAGGCATGCAAACTGAAAGTAATGAACTGAGTATCTTCTGAGCTTCCAAGTTTTTTTCAATTGCCTGCCATACTACCTTCATTTATTTGACCTTTCAAAAATAACACATGCCTTTCTTAACCTGTTTTCTGCCACATTCTCTGTTTCCCAGAGAAAAGAAAATCAGAAGGTCTCAAGGTGCTTACCATACCCACAAAGATGTTTCCTGCCACAGCCAGGGTCTCTGTGGCAGTGGTGCCCAGTGTGATTTGCAAAAACCAGGCCACCTAAAGAGATACAAATACCTAAGCCATTAACAGTAACAGAAATAAACCACCCCCTTCTCTACTGGTAAGAGGACTAAGACCCACAGAAAAACAGTGACAAGGCCAAGATCACAAAGCTAATTTTAAACAGTACCTAGTCCAGAACTTAGGATTCTTAGTCCCTTAAGACTTAGCATTACCATCTGATATCAGCTATGCTTGAAAATGTTTCCCTTTTCACATTGGCTCTAGCACTCTAATTCCCACATAAGAGCATTTTTCAAAATAAATGCCATCTTCATGCCTCTTCATCACAAGATGAAGGCACATCTCCTAACTGGCGTAGAAAAATTACTTACCTTCTGAATCACCCACTGCACAAGACCAAGGTAGTAGAGAATGGACATCACACAGCCAAAGAAAATGATGATCGGCAAAGACTGTAATAAGAATGACAGGCCTGCTGTGTATCATATTTTGGCCTCTACATAAACTCTCAGTATTTCAAGATGATTAAGCTGTAGCTGTGTAGATTCTCAGTGGATATTTAAACATAAACTAGTTTAGGAATAATTTTAAAGTATATTACAAATCTATCATCCCATGTACATAATGCTATAAGATGTTTTTTGAGCCTTCCTCTCCAATTCCTGTCATTCCAATGTCAAGAAGACATCATTATCATCCTGTGTTGTATGACTCCTCCAACAATGACCATAACTCCCTGCCCAAATAACAGACATGACCTGAAAAGCAAAGGCTTCCTTGACGAGCATATCTCCAAAGACAAAACTGGAGCCAGCCAGGGTGTAGTTCAGGAAAATCTGAAGGAAAGAAGAAAGAGAACAAAACAGGAAGGACACAGAGGAAGATGGGCTTGACTTCATGCATGATTAGGACCTACTGCTGCAACTAAGGTTTGCTGGTCTATGATAGCATGAGGGCAGACTGTTCCCTTGAGCTGTTCATTAAATGAGCAAAAATCAGCAGTTTGGTTCTCCTTATCCATATGATTAGTTATACCTCAGTATACACTCTCCTTTACTACCAGATCTCACACCACTGCAATAACAATCTCCTCATATTTTCCTCAGATCTCCTTTATCTCAGGTTCTAAAAGAGTAGAGCCCTCTGATTCAATTTCTCATACCTGAATCTGATCTCCCAGCCACTGAAATGCAATAAATCCAGGATCAGTTCTAATGACCAGGATTCCAAAGACAAACTGAAGACCTAGGCCCCAAAATACTGCCCTCCAGGACACCTGGAACCAATAAGAACATTATTCCAATGTGAACTATATACTAGTTTATTACCTAGGTAGATTGTAAAAACTGGGTACATGTATTCTGGTGGAATCAACTGGGATGTAATAGTAAATTTGAGGTAAAATGGTATAGGGGACTGGGAGAAACAGGGCAGCAATATGTGTAAAGCTACATCTGTCCTTAATGGCTTTTAAAGTTGTACCTACAGGTTAATACTCATCCATACATTTGTGCACACACACATACATACAAATAAAAGTGATAAACCAATACTTTATAACACAGTGCTCAATGCCAACTGATTCTCTATTGTATTCTATTTTGTTGTTGTTCCTTTCATTATTTCTTTTACACTGATCTAGATCCACCAATGGCTCACAACCTACAGTTTGAAAACAAATGGTCTAGGGCCTTTGAGAACTTCAAAACTTTTCTTAGGAGCAAAATTGCCAGAGGCAAATTTAGAGATTGTTAAGGACTTAGTTTGATACCTTTGTAGTCAATACTCAACATATGCGCTTTGCAATTAGTAATATATGGTTCTGGACTAGGTGTTCCAATGCCTGGCCTGCATATCCAACACTCACTGCACTGTGGTGTTTGGAGCAGGCGAAGAGAATGACGACAAACATGCAGATTCCTGCGAAGGAGATCAGCTGCTGGGGCCGTTTGGCTGTGTCTATAGCCAGCCACAGGATAAGGCCAACCAAAGCAAGTCCTGCAAACACCCTGCAGGGGAAATGCCAAGATCATGTTATTCAGTGAAGGAATAATTAACTTTACCTCTGAAAAATGGAATTTACCCTAAGGATAAATGAAATAACTTAATAGTTTACTGTAGATTAGACACAAAAACATCTCTTGAGAATCATTCATCTGGTAGTTTCCACCTCTTTCCCTCAACTCTTTTACTTGAGAATGAAATTAAAAGAGCCAATGTGAAGACACAAACTACATCCTTTTCCTCATGTTTTCATATCAGTGAGATGTGATATGATTGTCCAAATGTTTAAAATATTTTAAAAAGGAGGAAAATATGCACTGGTTTGCCATGGATTTCTGTTCATTTCCAACCACTGCAAGAGTAAGAATAAAGACTTAGCCACAAATCAACTACTTATAGACCTTTGATGTACCAAACATGCTTGATGCATACACAAACTGGTTTCCACATGTCTGAATGTTGGAGTCATTTCAGTTCCAAGGAGAAAAATTAAAAGGGAGAACACACAGCAGAAGAACACATTGTCCGTTGAAATACCTTGGACACAACACAAAGCAATACAGGTTAGGGGCAAATTTTTGAACCATTCTCACTGTGAACTCACTTTCTAGATGAGTTCAGATAACTCATCTGAAATTCACAATTGCAGAACTCATGGATTGCAGAATCCATCTTGCTAATAAATAGGCATCCCCCAGTGCCAAATCCACCAAATGATCAAAAATTTAAATTTAATCTGCTGTGTTCCTTAAAACTAGTGCTGTTATAAATATCCTTAAGACCTAATTTCTATGCATCCATTGGAGAACAGTCAGGATAAAAGAATGTTATAGAGTCTATAGGCATTGATGAAGGCTAGCTCTGCCAAAAGGCGATCAAGTTGGTTGCCACATTAGCAGCAAGGCCTATGGCTCCATTCCAAGGGCTTCCAGAACATTCCTTTCCTTCCTGTCGTTATTGGGTATAGAGGAAGAATATGATGTCTATGGTCATTTCGGTCCCTCAGAGAAGAGAAATCCTACTGTCCCTGTAATTTTGGAGTGCAAGAAGAAGGTACAAAGCCAACTTGAGGGGTGGTGGGTGGAACACCCACCATAAGTGATCCTTATGGTGGAAATTACACCGTAGCAGTATCAGATTTAATTGTCATGAAATTACAGTAACATCAAGGACAGAGGACACTGGCCTGGAAAAGATGGAAGCAGATGGGCAGGTCAAATGAAAGAAGAAATTCGAGATCAAGAAGTCTGTGATCAAAGGACATGTGAATGCTATACTGAGTTAGATGATTGGTATAGAATGCAGTTCAATAGCCACTGAAAAGATAGTTTGCTTCTTAAACTCTAAGGAACTGCAAGATACCAATGTGCATGGAGGCTTGAGGCATACAAAAAAAGTGAAGAGTGTCAGATAACTAAGGAAAACACATGAGAGCACCAAACCAATTTGATAGTTTAATGTAGCTCCAAGCTACATTACTTCATTACTCCATCTTGATTACTTCATTGAAGAGAAGGATGATTGTTCTCACTTCTGACATATAATGGACTGAAACTCTTGCCTCAAACAGAACCTCTCCTGCCTCCCCAAATGTTGAAGCATGCAGCTCACTGGTCTGATGTCCAGTGAATAGAGGCACATTGGTACTTGCTCTCTGCCTCAAGTTTGAAGTGTAGGTGATGGTCCCAGAGACAGCTCAAGAAATGTCAGAGGAGAAAAAGGTACAGGGACTGTATTCTGGGACAAGTTGTAGAGCCAGGAGTGTCAAGATTCTTATTTACTCATCATATCATCCAAAGCTATCTTACCTTTTCATCCAAAGCATTACATGGGCATTTTTCAAGGGTTTTGGACATCTTAATTTTTTACCCAAGAATCTTTTCAGAAAGTGGTGAGCCAAAGCCAAGAGTACCAAACAGGTGAGGACAAACAATGCCAGTGCCCTTTGGAAATTCAAGATGCAAGCTGCCAGGAAGTAGGCAGCATAAGCTTTAAAAAAGAAAAAAATAATAAAATAAAAAGACAGTACTGAGTAAGGACCAGTAAGGCAGCACTCTATAGGGGCAAATGAAGCCCTAAGAAAGATTATCTTTTATTTAAAAATGAAAACCCAGGCCTCCCTATTGGTGCAAGGGTTAAAGTCTCAGCGCTATCAAGCTATCACCAGCTACTGCGGCTTGAGTTTGATCTCTCGCCAAGGGACTAACACATAATGCTCAGAAGACCTCTCTTGTCTTGCCTGCTTCTCCCCTCAGCAGTGTATTTCAGTCAGTCTGCCTGTTCAGCTCCCTACTGTCTCTGGTGAATCCTCTCACCCCCCACACCTCTGGCCTACACCCCAGTTCTTGTTCGCATAAATAAATCAAATAAATCTTTTCAAAAATCTGTAACAATGAAAATCCTCCAGCAATCTTGCCACCCAACCCTAGTTATCCTACGGGGTTGTTTTCATGACCAGCATATACTGCTTTCTTCCCAATGATTTCCAAGCAGAGCCAACTTGTTTTGAAAAATTGCATATTTTCACTTATCCTCAATGAAATCTCACTTCCTTCTATTTTATCTTACATCCTCGTCTGTCCCTTGGAGAGAGATGCTGATCACACCATCTACCATTAGACTCCTGAAAAGTCATCTTTTCTCAAAACTTTATAGCCACAGTCATTTTAACCCTTTTCTTAACCAAAACCATGTGACTTATTTCACCCAAAAACATAATTTTTATTCTCTCAATCCCAGTTACCTCCAATATTGATATAAAGATCTATACACCCCACTCTATTTTAAATAGAGATTTGCTAGCTTTAAAAAAGTACTTCATATAATTGATGTCGTTATTAATTCAATAAATAATATCCTACAGGCTTCTCAACAGAAAAGACAAATACCATTTCCCACAGTGAATCAAGACACTAAAAAAGAGATAAATCCACATTCTCTGAGCTACTTGTCTATCAAATAGCATATTTTGAAAAATAATTTATTCCCAAATTTTATTTATTATTGGCAGTAGTACAACTCAATAAATTATGGTTTACTAAAAGTAATTATAATATCAATATAATTATAATATCAAAAAATTATAATTTATAATAATTTATAAAATTGCTCTCTACTTAAGTGACATCTTAAAGAAGGTCATATTCCTAAAGTGATTGTTTCTCTTGCTTCCCTGAATTCTCAGCACCTTACCCAAACATAGTATGGTCAACAGGATAATCCTGAAAATCTGGGCATGACTTCTGTAGAAACTTCTTGCCCTGGTGAATAGTTGCAGGCCCCTATCAATGAAAACCAAAAAATAAAAGTTATTCCATTCCATTTGTATCAGTTCCTAGAACTTAGGCTATCTGGTGTTAGGATTTTTTCTTTTAATTAATGAAGTAAATTATTCATCCATGGAAAATGAGGTAGTGTTCTGGCAATGCCAAAAGGCCAAATCAAATCTTACCCATGGCAGCAGGCCAAAATATCTCTCCTCAGGCTGCAAAACCAATGGTGATCTTGTACCAGAGAAATTTACACTAAGCACATCAGGGAGAGACTCTTGTACCTACTTCTTTCTTGTTCCCCAGAGACAAGGGATTGAGACCTTCCAGATTCCATTCTTCCGAGAGGCAGCTCTAACTTCTTCTCCCCAAAACCTACAAACCCATAACCCTGAAGAGTTGATCAATTGTACATGGCAAACTGGAAGGAAAATGCCAACATCCTCAAGAATCCCTAGGTGGGTAGGGACTAAGTGAAGATGTTCGGCAAGCTCTTGATAGCAAGGGCTATTCAAGTTGGTCTGACAAACACTTATATGTGTTTCTATACATAAGGATCTTTCCAAGGAATTTACAAATATTAAGTTACTAATTTCTGAGAACTCATTTTGCAGTTGTGGAAATTCAGAAATAGAGAAGTTGAAGAACTTTTTCGACGCCACAGAGGTTAGAAGTAGCAAAGACAGAATGTAAACTCAGGCAGAATGTAAACTCTTGGCCAGCATCCTATACTGCATCTTACCAGACCCCTGGCTTCCCTCTGCCTCTGCCATTTCTAAGTATGCTCAACACACTGTAGTCATATAACCAAAATACTCTAATTCCCATACTCTTGGAAGCATCAAGCAGGTGACTCCAACAAGAAGGTCTCAGCTGGCATCACCCTCAGGGAGAACACCTTCAAGCTCAGTGAAAAGGATTGCCTAACAGTCTCAAGGAAACTGAAGGAAGTCATTATCTTTGGAATATCATTCACATGCATATCAAGGAACTAATTGCATTTCAGTCCTAGATTTCTTATGGGCGGCAGAGAGCTTAGGTTTGCTCTTCCTAACCCACCTCTACCTTCCTCTGTGCTGTGGGAGTTTAACCCACTGATGACATCTTGGGCTCCCATGCCCTCTAGTATACCTACTTGGGTTCTACCAGAAGGACTCTTCACGAGATGAGCTCATACAAAAAGTGGGATCAGCATATTGGGGATATGCTTGATACTAACAGTATAGTAAAACTCATTCCTGCAAAGCCCACTCATAGCCTGAAACTGAAACTCTGATTTATTCTTCTGTCGGTTGATGTGATGGATTACATTAATTGATTTTCTGATGTTGAACCATCCTTATGTTCCTGGGATAAAGCCCACTTGGTCGTGGTGTATTATTCTTTTAATGCATTGTTGGATTCTGCTGAAACTCTGATTTAAAATATACCATTTTGAAAGGGGAAAAAAAGGAAAGTCATTAGGGGTATTTGAAATAAACAAGAGAACTAGCTTTATCATCCTTAAAAACCAATTAAGAAACAAAATATAAAGGCATATGAGTAGGTGCTCATGGTCCTGTATCTATCCTGTTGGCCCAGAATCTTGCCAATATTACCAAGATCTGAGGGTTAGTAACTGTGCTATATAAGAAAGTTGAATTAAGAAGAAATTTGAGGGTGAAATGTGATACTTGGTCATAAAGTGCTGTGAAGTTATATGCCCACTGATAAGTTCTCCAGCTGTATGGAAGGCTTTCCTGCTATGAGCTATCAGTAACCCTCTTATTTATTTATTTGTTTTTAAGATTTATTAGGTATGCATACAGAACTGGGGTACAAGCCAGAGATGCGGGGGCAGTGAGAGGATTCACCAGAGACAGAGCGGGGAACAGAACAGGCAGATCAATAAAGTACACTGCTGAGGGGAGCAGCGGGTGGGTCAGGAGAGGTCTGCTGTGCCTTATGGATCACCTCTGGGGCAAGGGATCGAACTCCCACTGAAGCAGCTGAGGCCAGCTTACAGTGCTGTGTCCTAACCCACTGTGCCACCAGGAGGGCCAACCCTCTTATTTATGTGGCCTGCAGTCTCAAGTTACAGGATGTAAAGGGTAGGTAGTATGGGGTTGGTATATAGTGTTGGCTGAATATAACATTAGTGAGCACCACATGGCAGACCTAGAAGCAAGGGCATCCATACATTTTCTCAGTGACCTCATCCACAAGATGTGGAAACTCTCCCCACTAAGATCAGCAGATCCATGGATATTCCCAGTGTCTAGAGTATTATGTTCAGTAGTTAGGGAGGAAAGCATTCAGAAAAATCCATCTTCAGTGACGTGAACATGAGATCCTTGGGTGAAACTTTGCTGCTCTCACTTGAGGCAAGAACTGAAAGAAAATAAATGAGTCCAACCCAGACCAAAATGAGTCCAACCCAAATCTTATTAAAGTGTGAGGACCTTTAGACAAAAGGGGCCTGAATCAAAGGGTTTGATGGTATAAAAAGACCGGGTCAGTGAGTACTGCTCTGGCTACCATTTTGCCAGATTCAGAGAGAGAGAGATGTAGATACAGATTATAAAACTACACATGACTAACTTCAAGTTGGGTTAGCAAGGAGACCTGGGACTAGAAAATAGTTATCAAAAGAGTGCAAGGGCAAATAGTGACTGAATCTGAGAAACAAAAAGCTTATGAAAATGGAAAGTCAAATAGGAGTTGAAAAACCAGGAAGGTATGAGAAAGCTCTACCAAATAGAGGCCAGCTTACATTGGAGACAAAGGCTCTGTGCACCTCAAGATAACCACTTCTCAGAGTCATTAGCAAAAGAACCTGAACCAGAACACAATTTAATAATGGGTGCTTAATCGCTAGGTTGTGATAAATGTTTTGCCTGAGAAGAGAGATGTCCCTCCAATATGGTACCCACATCTCTGCTTGGTGTGCCCATTTCCAATGATGGGAAATGTCAGATCTTCACCACACTCACAATAGAAACCCAAGGCCAAAGGCTCACAAAGACAAAGGAAATATGTGGTGGGATTTCCAACTGACCTTTCAACCATTCACATATCTTCCTCCAAAGCTCATCTCTCCAAAATGAGGGTGGGTTGAAGGCTAGTTGAAAACCCCACAACAAAGTTCTTTATCCTTTGTGAACCTTTGGCATGGATTGTTAGCAAAAGTTTCTCCCTGATTTTAGTATATGACTAATACACTTCACGAGTTTCCTATGATATAGTTTGCTTTTATTTAAACATTCTCTTAATTATTTAATTTTGAATTTAAGGACAAATGGACTCTAGTTCCTTCAGAAGCTGAATGCAGTCTCTGACCCTAGTAAGAAATAAAAAACTGGAGGCTAAAGAGAGCTCTGCAAGGATGGTACACTTGCAACTCTTCCTTGGGACATGCACTGACATGTAACACAGTCATGCCTCAGATGCTTTTCTAGACATCCATCCTGTAACTTGTAGAGCATATATCTACCAACCCATGTCACCATGCTTGCCCCAATCTGGTAGGCTTACCATCATCCTTCCAGAAAGTCAGAATGGTTGCTTTGATAGGGCAGCCAGAAGAGACAGCAAACATAATGGGAAAGTGGGAGAGCTATCAGGAAAAGCTAAAAAGAGAAATGATCTTTAATAAGGAGGTGACATTTAATGATGTCTAAAATCAAGCAGCCTGACAAATGAGAAAATGACAAATTTGGTAGTGAAGAAGTGACGAATTCTGTTTGGGAGTTATTTCCAGGAGAATAACTGGGTGAAACAAAGTTGCTGATTATTAAGGAGTGAATGAGAATATATATATTACTTTTCTAAAAAGTTTTCCCATGAAGAAAGAAAAGCTATGTACTATTTATTAAGAAACTTTTGCCAGGTACTACAAGGCCTCATAGTTAACTCTCCTAAAATACAAAACATTCTAAGGTTAGTACTATGACAAAATTATGAAAAGGGAAATGAAGGCTGTTAGCAGGTGACACAGTTAGAATTAAAACTCTGATGTTCCCATTTCTCCATACTGGTTCTTAGAAATGTAAGCTCAAATTCTAAAAGGACATTTCTGGAATTCCAATGTTATAATTGGAAGGATCACAGGAAGAACTGGTCTGATAGGTAGCAGGGAATAAGTCTGCTAAATGGGTATGCAGGAATTAGAAAAGAGAGGGTTGTGGTAACTCTAGAAGAGAGGCAAAGCATGTTTGAGTAAGGCCAGCATTTTGAAAGAGCAGTATGCTTTGCTGTCATATGGAAGCAGAAAGTTTGTGGATAAATGGTAGAAAGAAAGCTTGTGAGAAGGGCAGCAGCCAGGTCATGTAGATTATATACCAAGCTGATGAACTGAGATATTATCTTGCAGTAAATGGAGAGCCAATGAAGTCTTCAAGCAAGGTAATTCTAGGGGAGACATGTGCTTTAGAATGATCACCCTGTGGCAACGGAGTAAGAGATGGGCTGAAATCCAGCTAGGCAGTAAATGACAGGGGGAGTGAATGGTATAGGGTTTAGCAGACAGGATCAACATCACGTGGAGAGCACCAGGGGTGACAGTGAGGCTCCTGCCATGAGTGACTTGGGTAATAACTCTCAACAAGATAGAGACATAAGAGGAGGAATAAATCCAGGAAAGGAACTTGAATTTATTCAGAATCTCTTTAGAGCATGTAAAGTTTGGGAAGCACAGGGCTGCTTACTCTGCCCATTAATGAGTAAACATGATCATTTGAAAATATGTATTACAACCCTAAAGTAACAACTAAGATAGCTAGCAAAACACAAACTTATAGCTACTAAGTCCACAAAGGTGATAAAGTAGAACCATTTCAAAATATTCACTTAATCTGAATGAAGACATAAAATGAGGAAAGGGGGAACAAAGAACAGCTAAGAGAAACAGAAATAAATAGCAAGATGATAGATTGAAATCAGTCAAAATAAATGGGCTAAACGCCCTGATTAAAAAGCAGAAATTGGCAGATTGACTAAAAAGGCAAAGGTAGATTTTCTTCTGAGAGAAGAAAAAGGACAAAGACAAAGCAAATTATAAGGCAACATTACTACAAGTGATACTGTGATGATGAATGGGGGAGTTGATGACAAAAAACACTTCATCTTCGTAGAAAGTAGTGATATTGAAATATATGATACAAACAATAGAGATGTGGATGAGAATGACAGAAAGGATAGAGAAAGCGGAGCTGAGAATGTGAATTTTTAAAAAACTGCTAAAAGAGGAAAAAGTAAGTGAACCCACACATGAGGAGGTAAAATGTCAACCAGGAAAGAAGGTTTAGGCAGTCCAGGTTGGGGCCTAAGATCCACTTTGCTTTTTCTTTTTTAAAACATTTATGTGCATATATATACATAAATATTACATGTGTGTACACATACATATATATAGATATATACTAATACCACTGTTCATTTTTGTACAATGTTTGATTTCTCCATTCAGGTGGTTGTTCCTCCCACAGAGTCACCCGTGAACCACCACCATAGTCTCCTGTGCTCTTCTGTCCCTGTTTTAATTCTTAACCCTCTCTTTTCCCTGCTGAATATCTCTGACTTACAGTTGCCTACTAATTTTGTCTTTTTCCCTCTAATCCCTTATTTGGTTCCCCTACATTCCTCCTATAAGGAAATCCATCCAATATTTTTCTTTTTCCTTCTACAGGTAGAAGTTAAATAGGTACTTTGGAAGGGACACTTTGTCTTTATAAGTTGGGATGATTTTACTGGGATCTACATGAGTCTGGGCTTTCCTGGGTAGAATTTAGAACTGAAATTCAATAGGGTTTGCAGTAATATTAATCTGATATACAATCACTATCCTCCTA